GATGGCATTTGAGGAGGATTTTATTATGCCCTGGTGGAGAAGGAGAGATTGCGGAACGGCTGAACATGTGGCGCTGTCGATCTCTTTCATCTGTGGGTTTCCCTGGCAGTGGCCTCAGAGGGAGCCTCTTCTTGACTTCTCCAGGCAGATCTTGGAGACCTGAGATTCCAGGCCTGAGCATCTTTGGGCAGGCTTGTAGAACTCCCTGCTGAGCCGGTCTTCGTGTTTGGGCTGGGGAGGCTTTGGTGGAGGTTCTTCCTTACTGCAATTTTTATCTCTCACTCTCTGGTCAGTTGTGAGCCCTCAGGATGGGTGGGCTGCAAAATGCAGCTGCTTCGGTACAGAAGGCGATGACCCTCGGGGGCCTGTTTTACCCACCCAGTTCCATGAGAGAGAGAGAGAGTAGGCCAGAGGAGTTGGCGGCTGTTCCACTTAACTCTTTCCCACCTTCACTGTGTGTTCCTCTTTTAGGTTGACATCTGGTCCCTTGGGGTGCTGGTGATAGAAATGGTGGACGGGGAGCCCCCTTACTTCAACGAGCCTCCTCTAAAAGCAATGAAGATGATCCGGGACAACCTGCCCCCCAAACTAAAAAATGTGCACAAGGTAAGGGGAGCTGTCTCCTCGCTTGCCTTCCTTTCCCTTCCTCTTCTTGGGAGTGTCAGATCTGGGTCAGGCTTTAAGTGCCAGCCCAGTGAAGGAGGGTGGAAAGCAGGGTGGGGGGCATCCGTATAAGTACACCAAGCCAGCAGGGTCAGCTGATGATGTCAGCTGTCACTGAACTCTTCATCAGCTAATCATTTGAAAATTCATATGATATAATTCACATATAAATAATTAAGTAGTCAAAAAGGGAAAAGGGGTGTGTGTGTGTCTGTTTTCTATCAAAGCAAAGAGGTGTCCCAGTGACCACCATCTCAGGTGTTGCATCTTTGTGCAAGTAAAACTGTTGAAGATTTATAAGAAAATTAAATAAAAATTGTACCTTGGGACAATTAAGTGTTAAAATGCTGGCAGAAAAGATATATTTGTAAGATTTGGTTTCTGGGTGATACGTGGGATGATCCGGCTGGGTGCACAGCTCCAAACAGTGACCTCCCCCCGAGTAACACACAACACCTTGGTTTCAAGTTGCATAGTTTGAACAGAGAAACCCAGATTTTTCTGTTCAGGAGAAAAACATTGTTTTCTTTTTTCATTTTAGTGGAACCCAGTTCATGAATGTTTTGTCCATTTCGTTGGGATTCAGGGACAAACTATCCTATTATATATTCTGTCTCGGTGCCTGCATAAAGCCCCAGAAGCCATTCTGATTGAACTTTTAACGGATAATCAATTTTATGCCGCCATTACATGCTGGCTTTGTTTGCCACCACGGCAGAAAAACCGTGTTTGCATTTTCAAAACAAATGCTCCCATTGATTGAACTGGGTTGATTAATATGGGAAGCTGTCACTGCCTATTCAGTTTTGTAATCAAAATTTTAATCTTGGTTTTGATCGTGATTGATTTTATCAAGATCAACATATGTAGGTTATAATGTGTGGCAGTCTGTGTAGCAAATGGGTTGAGAAGTTGTGAAGGTCCTCTGGTGAGATGCTGCCACAGAGACACGTGTTTGCTCTTCGTCATTGGCTTGAAAAAGCTTCCCTCGGAGAGAGTGTTCAAAAGGAGCTGGGGAGGGTGACCGCCTCCAGTGAAGTATGGGACTGGCCCTGGCAGAGAAACCCTCCCTGGTCTCCCCACTGAGGATGAAAAATCCTTGGCTCTGACATCCATGTGGGGGTCTTCCTGGCCAGAGTTGGATCTTAAGTGGCAGACCAGAGAAAGTCTCTCTCACTCTCCCCCCTCTCTCTCACAAACACACACACACACTCACACCAGCACTCACCCCTTCCCCCCCATCTTCTTTATCTTCTGCTTTGAATTTGTTCCCTAACTGCAAATAATGATTATTATTATTCCAGGTGCCACAGGACTTGATAATGATTTTGCTGTCAAAGGCGAGAGAGCCACCTAGCGGTCCCTCTGGACATGTCTGGGGGACACCCAGGGTCTTTTCCTCTCTCGGCCTGCTGTGACTCACGCCACCTTGCTCTTCCTCTGCAGGTTTCTCCCTCCTTGAAAGGATTCCTTGACCGTTTGCTGGTCAGAGACCCAGCCCAGAGAGCCACCGCCAGCGAACTCTTGAAGCACCCCTTCCTAGGGAAAGCTGGGCCCCCTTCCTGCATTGTGCCCCTGATGAGACAGAACCGGATGAGATGAGAGAGGCAAAAGCAGCTGGACACCTGACCAAAGAGCGAGCAAGAGAGGCAGCCTTCACAATCCCCCGGGCAGCCCCCCCCCCAAGGCAGCTGTTCTCGCCATCGTTAGGGCTTGTTGCTCCCCTTCTCGCTCCCCTCTTCCCTGGGGGAGTGCTGTGAGTTCCTCCAGGCCGCCTGGGTGGAAAGGGCTCTTCGAGGGAGATTCGTCATCTCTCGTGGCACTCCCGGGCAGCCTTTCCTCATGGACTCTTCTTTGCCTGCGGACGACGCTGGAGCCTGAGATCTCTACACAGAAGTCCAGGTCGCCAGCCCCTGCTGCTGGTTTCCCACCTCTGGCAGGGACACACGCTCTGCGCGCCACCGTTCTGTACTACTGAGTTTGGCAGATTGGGGTGGGGGAGAGGTTAAAAGGCTGTAACATTTCTGGTTGCCACTTAGTCATTTGCTGTATATCTGAAATCTATGACAGTGCTTTAATGCAGCAGGGCATGGGGCGGGGGAGCCAAAATCCTGTTCATCTCTATCCTGGCGTTGCAGAAATGATCTTGTTCTCCCCTGCTGGCCAGCTTATCTTTCCTTCCAGGTAGTATAAGTCAGAAAAGATGGCAGGGCATTGGTAGAAGGGAGGAAACCCCCTCCCACAGGCTCCCAAGCACTGGGAACTTGGGTTTGTTAAGGTCGGAGGGACAGGAGAAGCATGAGCTGGTGTCTCCTTCTGGAAGGTAGATTTCAACTTAGCAAACAAGGGAAACACCCTTACCTTACCGCCGTTGGTGCTGCAGCTCCTGTTGCAGATGGTGTCTCAGGTCCCCAGCCTCCAGACAGGAAAGAGCCTCCTTCTCCAGAATTTCCTTCCTTGCAAAAAGAAAAAAGAAAAAGCTGGAAATTGCGCCTTGTTCAGAACTGCCACTGCACTTGTCTTGAGTCCCCTGCCTAAAGCGAGCGGGCCCCAGGCCAATGCAGAGTGTGTCGCTTTTTCCCCCAAACTGCCCCCGTTCGCAGGGACTGAATATCTCCTGGACCCGACTCGCGAGTCTTTCAGCATCTGCTCCACAGTTGACAGAAGAGCGTTCATGCTGCCTCAAAGGAGACAACGCTCCGGCGAGGGTGTCTGTTTCTTCATGTTTGGGGTGGAAAAGATGACTTCTCTCTAGCAGTGACCCACTCCCTCCACCTAAAGAGACACCACCTACATGATGTGCCTGGGACCCCACAGAAAGGGGGAATTTCTGCAGGCCAGGTAACAACCAGGCATCGGTCTTGCCTCCTCACTCACCCACTATCAAGTCTCTCTCCTGTTCTGGCAGGAACAGCCCCTGTTGGTGATGCTCTCCTGAGAAGTCTCTGTTAGGCAAAAGCCCTCGGCTTTGTGCCCAAGGTGGTTGAGCTCTGGAAGGAGCCAGGTCGCCGGTCGTTTCTCTCTGTGCTCACAGAAAAGGCTGGCGACCCAGATCAGAGCCTCTTCTCTCTGTGCTCACAGCGCCCTCCTGATCAGAAAAGGCTGGCAACCCAGATCAGAGCCTCTTGCTGTTCCCTTTGCTGGCTTGAACCCCTCTCCCACTTCCGGTGCCATCTGGAGAGGTCCCTTCTTGTTCTCTGTAGCGCCAGCCCTTCCCTTCGCTTGCTTTTGGGAGTCAGATTTCCTTTTGCTCTGGGATTGTCCTGCCTCAGAGGGGAACTCTGGAGCCCCCCCCCCTCACTTTGTGGCACGTGCAGTGTTGCTGTGCTCTCTTGCTCTGCCTTGACCTGGCCCCAAGAAGGCGCTGGTCCTCTCCTCTCATGGGCAGCATGGTTTTTAGGTGGGTGGGTGGGTAGAGATGTCCCTGAGTGGAGGCTGCCGGCAGCAGGTCAAGTGGCCTGGCTCCAAACAGCCTGACCTGGTGGGCCGTGGTTTCTCTCTCTCTGTGTCTCTCAGCGGGAGCCCTGGAGGAGAGAATGGCCGCTCCTCTTGGCTGGCTGAGTGCAGTCGTGAAAGGCAGGGAAGCCTTTGCTTCCCTTCCGAATGGGGTGCCCCTGCACTCTTCTGGAACCATGGGTGGGGCAGCAGGCAGCGAGGCCAGGGAGGTCCTCGGGGAGCCTCGGGTGCCCCTGCTCACCTCCAGCGTGGCTCTCTTGGGTGGCCACGCTCCCTCCCATGCCCTGGGCACCTGCCCTGCTCAGACGGAGGCTTCAGCTCCTGGGCAGCAGAAGAGAAACATCCCTGAAGCTCATGGGAGGGGGAGGGCATGTTGGGAGCCAGCGGCATCAGGAGGAGAGGGTCCTTGGGGTGGGGGGGAGAGTGGGGGGGATCAGATCAGCCCCCCCTCCAGGTGGAATAAGTGCAGGTGCCTCAATGAAGACGGAAGGACTCCCTGGTCCCTCCTGCCAGTCTTTTCCTTGCATGCTGTACAGTCTGGGCTTTTCTGCATGCCAGTTACGGGGTAGAGTTTTGCTTTTCTTTGAGGCTGCGGAACTTCCTTCCTGTCTGGCCTGAGGTTCTTGCAAGTGTACGTCTCCTTCACTGGGTTCCTTGTTTCCCATGGGGTGGGGAGGGACCATCTCCTTTTCTTCAGCCCAGGCCGCAAATAGCAAGCAGGCCTCACCCTGGTGCCCCCGTTTGCTTAGCAGCTCTTGACACACGCACACCTCTCCCCCAGGTCATGGGTTCCAGCTTCCCCTTTGGGTGACCTTTAGGGGACTGTCCTCACAACGTTTTGGCACAGCCCCTTGAGAGGAGATCGTCAGATTCTTAGAAATGCATGGGCTGTGTTTCTCCTTGTTGGAAGGCTGTGTCTTGAGGAAGCCTCTCCTCAGAAGGGAAGTGGCTCCAGGTGCTGCTGGCCACCCCAGGCCACAACCCTGGAGCCCCCAGCCTCTGCGTTGTGAGCGCTTGGCGCTCTGCTTCTAGGCCCCCCCCCCTTTCCTCGCCAGGCCGAGGCTTCCTCAAACAGCTCTCCGTTCTCAGCCTCCGAACAACCGAGTCGCCACCTGGGCCAAGCAGAGGAGGAGCCAGGACCTGTCCGCACAGCCAGAGCCTGGTCCTCATGCTTCTGCTCACTCAGTCTACACCGCCACTGTAAGGCAGAGCCAACCCGTGTCTTAAAAAGTGGGCTGTGCCTCTCTGGGGAATGGGTTTTAGCCACTCTGCAGCTTTAACTTCCAACCCCTGGGCAGAGCCTCCCCCTCTCCAGCCACTGGGCCCTCCCTGGTGGCTCATGCAAGGCGGTCAGAGGCCAGCTCCTGCCTTCCGTTGCATCAGGATTCTGTTTATCCACACCTACACACACACACACACACACACTTCTGATTGTGCAAACACTTCCAAGATGCAAAAAAAACAACACTACACTTCTCCGGCAGGGAAAATGATTTAAAATCTCACTTACTTTTAACTTGGGTGGGGAGTCATGCAGGGATAGTCTCTCTCTCTACTTCCGGATGTCACACCCCCTCCCAATGGGGCAACCCTAATCCCAGTTCCCCTGAGATGTAGGACTGGAATTCAAATACAGGCCTGGTGGGACAGGCCCAAAAGCCTTTGTGTAGCCTGAGTATTTTATATAACTGGAGGCTTGGGCTGAGGGATCCCCCCCCCCTCCCTACACCTGTGAGAATGACTACTGATTCATTTTGTGGGTTTTTTGTTACCTTTTTTTAAGAAGAAAAGTTATTTATATTGTGTTGGGTTTTGTTTTTTTGTAACACACAACAGTATTTTGCATTGGGATGAATTTTAAAGATCTGTTTCATACAGACTGCTGTGACTAATTCTAGTAACGGTTCAGCCATGAGTTATACAAAGAACCTGGATTTCATGTCATTAGATTTGACTGTGGGTTTCTTTTCATTTCTCTCCTTTTCAGATGTGGTGTTGAACTTGGGTGAAGAGTTTTAAATAGTCAAAAATTCTAGTTTTCTGGAGACAAAGGTTTCTTGTCTGTTTGTTTCACTCTTGGGGCTTCTGAGGGAAGATCAGACTTGCAGGGGTGTGTGTGTGCGTGCATGTGCACATTAAGGAAGGGCTAAAATGTACAAATGGAATTCACGCAGCTGAATGCTTTCAGAGTGTAGCACCTCCTATTACTTCCAGAGTTCCTGTATTAGTTTTTCCTTGGACATGATATTTAAATGGCTTCCACATAGAAAGCCCTTGTGAAGGGTTAAGGGTTGAACTAAAGAGGTTTGTGTTTCCTTCCCCTCTCTCTGTTCAGAGCTGGTAATAGTTCAAGAGAATTCCTTGAAGGGGGGCGGCAGGGCTGTCTAGGAGAGTGAGAGAGAAATGCCTCTTTTGTCCTGCACGGTGGGATTCTTGTCTTGGGTCCCAAGTGCTGGAGATCCAGGTAAAAACCAAAGCTTTCAAGAGCTCAGGAGGTATTCATCCAAAGAAACTGAAAATCCTCACACCCCTAATAATCATCACGGTAATAACAGCAACAGTCGGAGCACAGGGAGCAGAAATCCTTCATTTTCCCCCAGTGGTGTAATTTCCTCCCGCCCTGGGTTGCTCTTAAATCTCCTGGAGCCTTTTTTTTTTGCCTCAACGGCTTTCTAGATTAGCTCAATTGATTCTCAGGGGCCGCCTGCTCAGTCAAGAGTTCCACTGGAGGAGGAGGAGGAGGAGGAGTGCGGTTGCAATCTCTGTGGGCAAAGGGCTGAGGGCCGACTGCCACAGGTTCTGCCAGGGAGACCTCTGGACTCTCTCCAGTCCCTGTCAGCGGTGCCTGGAACCTCCAGAGGACACCCACGTCATGCGCTGCTTCCAACTCTTCGCTACTTCTGTCTTCTGCCCATGCTGCCATCCTCTGATTTCGTTCTCCACATGTTGACATCGTCATGTGCTGGTGGGTCCTCCAGCACCAGTGTAGGATTAGTCCTGTGTTCCATCTGCCACCCTCTGGGCCCAATGGCCTCTCTGTGCCCACAGGGGCCTCTGCCTTGCAGCCACAGCATGAGACCCAGGTTTTTAAAAAATTCCACCTGCCTTCCTCAACCCCTGATTTTCATACCAGGCTCTCTGCTGAGGACTTCTGTATAGCTCAAAAGCTGGCATTGTTTTTGTGATGCTTTAAGGAGATGAGCCCTATTGAATGTGTCTGACCCACTTCAGCATTTAATCTCCGCCAACTCCCCTGTCCTCAGGCCAAGGACCAAACCCAGTTTCAGATAAGTTATTGGAAAGGGGGCGCCATCCAGTTTTGGTCTGTGATCAAAGGCAAGCTGCCGGGTCCTGAAGTGCCTTGGCTCACAGAAGTTGCCTTGGTGGGACCCAGGATTTTTGTAACAATGAGTAAGAATTCTTTCTTTGCAGGAGGGTTTTTAAACAAGTTTGACTGCCCTCTGAAAAGGCTGCTTTATCCCTGCCGCCGGGCCGGGCCGGGCTGGGCGAGGTGACCCCGGCGGAGATCCTTTCTCAACTCTCCCGGTCGGTCGGGGCCTCTCCCCTCCTGGCTCCTCACATTCTGCACATCTGATGAGGGTTTTGGCGTGCAGTTACACCCACGCCCGAACTGCCGGTGAACCTGGGGCAGCATTTCATTCTAGGGCGGCGGAAGGGAGAACCGAGCCTTGGGCAAGACCTTCGGTCCAGAAAATGCGCTTTCTGTGCACTGGAGAAGCCAAGCCACTGGGTGTCCTGCTTTGCCCCGGATCGTGTGCTTTATGTTCAGCCGCTGGATCTCTTCTGTGATGGGTGGGACGGCCTTCCTTTGGCTGCGGCCGGACCAGGAGTGCCCGCTGAACTGGTTGGCTAGGGAGGCAGCCTTCCTCCTGCTTCTCTCAGCATTTGAGAAGGGGCTTCTCTTGGTTGGGGAGGGGGCGGGGAGAGGGAAAGATACAATAATTCAGGCGCTCACACCATGTGCCAGATGGCTAAGACAACGGAGGCTTTGGGCGGTTTGAAAGGTGGGGGGAGCGGATTCTGACCGGGCGCAGCGTCTCTCCACCGGAAAGGACCGGGGGGGCCGGCAGCATCTTTCCCGCGACCCTCTCCTTCCTCACTTACGAGGCCACAAGAGGCACCGCTTTCTTCTGATTTCGGAGAACTAGATCCGGGCAGGATGAAACCGGGGGTGAATAGAGAAGACTGGCCCCACCTCGGACCGGCTCGGCAACTCTTTCTCTTCCCCCCCCCCCAGACTGCCGGGGCTGTCCTTCCCCCTGGAAAGGTGGGGCAGGAGCCGCCGGTCCGCCTTGAGGAGTGGCCCCCGGGCCGGGCGCGGC